CACACACCAACAGAAAGCAGAAAAGAAGCAGAATGGAAACACATTTTAATCATTACACTGCAATAGTTGTTGAAAGCTTGGAAGGATCTTCAGTAAATACATTTCTCTGTGCACTGCTGGGGCAGAAGCTCATGGACCCTACCCAGGCTTAAAAGCAGAGCAATGTCTTGCATGCAGTTCAATGCGCATAACAGCTGAAGGGATGGTCTTCTGAAGGAAACACAGGGATGGAGAAGAGTAAATGTTTGAAAGAGCCGGAGGGGAAAAAAAGACGTGGTTTATGAAACCACTATCAGCCCATTACAATGCAGCCCTGACACATTTACCAGTACAGATTAGTATCTACTCAACTTGGTGCACGTGACCCTAACCATTCACTTCATGGCTGGGAGGGTAAGTAACTCACTTGTAACTTTATAGACTGAGAAGTTAATAAGCTCACAAAAGCTTCGAAACTTGGGCGTGCCCAGCAGCCATCAAACCTCAACAGGTTTGTTGGATGAAAGGTGAAACGTCTCTGAGAAACCCAGCTGCTGTCATTTCTACTCTCAGAGATACCAAGAATATGTGCTTCATTCATGGGCGCTGGTCACTAAAATTGAAATGGATTCCTCTCAGAGTATTTCTAAACATATGAAATTAGAAAATGTTTTACGAAAACTTGCAACAATGTTAAACAGCAAACAGAAGAGAGGTATGGAGAACATTCATCCTCTTAAAATTTGTTAACACAAACAAGGCAGAATGGATTTTTACAGGGGGAAGAAGAAACAACATCAGGCAGAACAAAGATAAAAAGTTGGGAACAAAATAACTGATGAGGGTTTAAAATGCATTTTCTATGAAATTTCATGACGCTTGCCGGGTTCTTCCTTTGGAGGGATTTTGCTTGGAAAATAAATGTACACTAAAAACTATTTCTAATAATGGTAAGAGCTTAAATTCTCAATGATGGAGAAACTATAGGAAAAACAGACCAAAGTGCCTACATAAATTTTACAGAAGAGGTGTTTTAAAAATCTGTATTTAAAGGAGGGAGATACTGACATTTATTTATTTATTCAGAATTTTAAGGATAACAGCTTTAAAGCAAATAACACAAATAACAAATAACACCTAAAGGTAATGAAACTGAGAAATATGACACAACAAGTACAATGTATAGAAGGGAATTGCCCGCAAAATCTATGGAAGATCTAGTTGAGACAAATAGACAGTTAAAATTGACCTTTAATGTGCCTTTTTTGATTTCTTTTTCTTTCTTCTCTAACAGCCTGTTGAATGCCAAAGCATCAAAATCTGAGTTAAGTCTGGACTCTTTGCTTGTTTGTTTGGATGTGGACTTGCTGCTGTGTTTCATTTCTTGCTGGATAACTTAAAGGCACTTGAGCTTCAGGGCATGAGCTGATGGCCGGACATTCTCCTTCAGGATTTTCTGATATAGCGCAGAATTCATGGTTCCATCAATTACAGCAGGCTATTGTACTTTCTACCACCACATTTTCTCTGTAAAGTAGGTTCAGCATGACATGTTTGACTATATTATTCAAAACTGTGTGATTATTGGTATGAATAAAAGCTTGAACATGTTAGAGTGGAAACTTGAATACATTTGTTCTTGGTGCAGTTCACAACAGTCAGTTCAAAGTTTTGCGGGGAAAAAAGCCCAAATTTCTTTTCTGCTTTCTCACAGAATAGATTGAGCTGTCAACTTAATTTACATTCACTAAGTTGGACCCTAGAATAACCTGAGCCTGCATTATTCATCATGCTGAGCAGGTACACTGAAGGACATTGCCAAGAGACCCTGCTAAAAAGCGTCAAAGAACCTGAATTGATGTTTCTTAGAAACGTTGACACCAGCAGCTCATCTGAAAACAGTGCTTTGGTATGGTGTATGAAGGACCCTAGAATAACCACATCTTTGTGGTGTGAAGACACAAAACATAATAAGTAGCAAACAATGAAGCCTGCTTCTACAAAAGAAATGACTGTTTCATGTGATAAAGATGAATTTTAGTAACTCTTGAGAGTGGGGAAAGTGAGTAAATCTTTAACAGTGAAATTGTGCAATGAGCCTCTCTCTTAATTGGGTCAAAGTTGCTGCTGAAAACAGACACAACTCTGTTTTTCGCGGAGAAAAAACGCCATCTAGTGGACAAATGCAAAAAAGCGCTTTCAGCACTGAAAGAAGATCCATTCAAATCCATTAATCTTCTTTACTTCGAAAGCTTTTGCTGAATGACACCCTGCAAAGTGTGCATTATATTTCTTATTGTTATCATTATTAGTAGTATACTCCTTTAGATTTTTTTAAGGCCACCAGTAGTTTTATTAATTCACTTATTCAGTCTTTCAAATAAAAAAAAAATAAAAAAATGTATTGCAACCTGAAACTGGCTTTTTCCTGTAGATTCAGCTAAAGAAATGGGAACTAACAGGAATGTGTTTTTGCAACAGGCCATCAGTATCAAAGCACTCAACGGTGCTATATGAAATAAGTTCTTTGCCAAGTTGGGTATTTTGTGTTGACAGAACACTAATTCATCCTTTAAGGCCTTTTTAGTGTGTGAATGATTCCTGGGTTAGTGCTAATTGGCTTAAACAAACAAACATTTCTCTGGAAATGTTCAGGTACCGATGATCAGGACTGGACTAAAAATAAATGACAAAACAGCCCATGTCCAGAGAAAACCTCTGGAAGACCTTCAGAAAGACTGAAGAACTATTCAACAACAGCAGTTTAAACATTATAAAAAAGTCTGGCTGCTAATATAAAGAAACAAAATGTAAAGAAAAGAGTGGTGGATCAAAACTTTGTGTGGTGTCCTTGTGGCAGCAGAGATACATCAGGGGCAAGGGTACCTAGACCCGATTTGTAGAGTACGCTTGGGGAGTGTGATCGTGTGTACAGAGTCTCTTTATGTCTGTCTCCACGTTGGTTGAGGATGGAGTAAGTGCATATGAGAGCATGAGGGTGGGAATGGATGTTTGTGTCTGTGTGTGCCTGTATGTCTGTGTCTATATGTCAGGTTGGGT